AATTAAAAAAAAATAAAAAAAGGAGCTAATGTTAGACATAAAGTGCATTAATCGACATAAATTGGGTGATAGTTAGTAAGAGCGTTAGAAGTTTGGTGAAGATCTGCAGAAAACGTAGCTATTCGCTAAATAGTAGGAGAGTGGTGAAAACTAAAATGATAAGTGTCAAGCATCAGATGTTAGATGTCGGTTGTTGATAACTAATCATTTATGATCAATGTAGAGCATTATAAGCTAGGTAGTAAAATGTGTAGAACTTGGTTGTTCTCCTATCCTGAGAGAAGACTAAATGACTATGCAAAATGAGTATTGAACATTAGATGTCAATTCTTACCAAATGATAAGGGACAATAAATATGAAATATCGTAAGTGAGAAGATGGTAGGTAACAAACTTGGTTGTATTTTTAATAGAAGTGGAGAAAAAACGATGATAGAATAATTAAGTATTTAATTTAAATACCAATAAATTTTGTCATTAGCATACATCAGATGATGATTGATTGTAAATTTTAGAAGCTAGGCAATAAAGGGTGGTAAGCTTAACTATTCAATTGATACGAGGGATAGTTGGGTGATCAGGAAGATGAGCAATAGACTTAATGTCTAGTGGATATTAGTGCATATTAGACTTTAATAGTTAACATGCATTAAGCAATATCTAATAGATAATGTAGAAAGTTAAGTCTTATTGGACAAAAGATTTAGTTGTTCAATCGATAGAAGTGGAGACTTGGTGACCAAGGAGACAAGTGTAAGAATTTAACAATTGATGAACATTTAACTTCATTTGTTTGCAGGCATTGAATGATGATTAATAAGAAATATGGTACATCTGGTAATAGAGGGCAATCAACTTGGTTATTGTCCTTAAAGGAGGAGAGAACGAGCAACAAAAAAGGCTAAGGGTTAAGTATTATTATCTTTAGATTAGTAGATTTCTATTATTTGTAATATTTTAGTAACAATTGATAATAGACATTGAAATTCAAGTGATAAAGAGATTTAATCTTAGTCATTTTCTTCATAAAATATAAGATTAAATTGTTAAGATCATAAACATTATATATTAGTTGTTGGATGAAATTATGAATGAAAGGGATAGAAAATTAGGAATTATAGAAGTTAATTGCTAATGAAAAATTGGCTTGGTCATTTTTATGATGTATGCAAAGTCTTGGAAACATAGAATATAAGCATCAAATATTAATTTCCAAGCAACATTATTGATTGTTTGTGGGCATTAAATAGTTGACAAGCAATAGAGTATGTTAAAAGTTAAATAAATATTTTAGCTATTTTTTTTATAGACAGGGGTGAGGGGAGATGAGAATTAGTGAACATTAGGCTTTAAAATGTAGGCGGGCGTCAGAAGGTATTCATTGAAAAGCATTAGACAGCAATCAATGAAGAATTAAGGAGTCATGTGCTGGTAAATGATTGAATTTGTTTCTATCTTATTAAGTGAGGGGATCTAGCCATTGAAAAGATGAGCATTAAAAGTAGTTATTGGATGGATGTCAAATATTTAGTTTTATAAGTAGGCCACATGAGATGATGACAAATACAGTTTGTTGGGCAATAATGGGTTGTCTACATGAACTTCTGATAATAGAAGAGATCAGGAGATTGGAAAGATGAGCACTATATTTTAGAAACAATAAAATATCATATATAAAAAAATATCAAAAGTCAAGCAATGACAAATAATTTTCTACTTATTTCCTTTAATAAGAGAAGATATTAGATGACTTGAAACATTAGTGTAAAAAATTGATGTTGAAAGACATCAGACTATGGAAAATAATGAATATTTTTGTTTGATGGCTGCTGGTATTAGGATAAAATTGATTGTGGGTGTCAACATCAATCAAGATATGTCATGTGAAGTGGTAATAATGAGCGTTGATGCCACTTTATGATGAGTGTTAGGTGATGTTGGCAACAACATCAATGTTGATTGACGATTAATGTTGGGTCATGAATGATAACTAACCAGTGTAAGCATGAAGACTTGGTCACGATAGTATCGTGTTAGTTGAAAATCTCCATACTATGATAAATGAAGATGAGTATCAATATCAATTCATGTGAAATCTCATAAATAGAATGAAGTTGAACTCTTAAATATCAAGTTGTTTCTTGGTGTAAAGGTTAGAATTTCATCATAAACTTCAAAGTTAAGCTTGCCTATGCGGGAGAACTTTTGATTTGGTTGACCTCCGATGAAGTTATACTAAGAGGCAAAATTGTGAGACTATTACACCAAAGCAAACAATATCTTAATGGACGAGAGTTTGAGCTACTATTAATGGTATCCGAGCATTACACTAGTATGAAATTAGAAGTATATGTCTGGTAGATCATTATGGGTTAAGAAAACTAATGTGTGGAACGGGTAACCTTTTTGATATCAATGGAGCAAAAATGTGTGACAATTAGGCCAAAACAAATAATATCTCAATGGATGAGAGTTTAGATTATTATAATTGATGGCTGATTTTAAACGATAAATGGTGACAAAATATATAGGATGAAGAGATGGGACTGGGGCCGATTGGTGTTGATTGAGGGTTGGCAAAAAATTAAAACCAATAAGTGGTCGGTATAAGGTAGTCTTGACAAAGTGTGTTGATTTTAGGCATCAATAGTTAATGAATGGTGTTGATGATGGTCGACGTTGATGTTGGTTGATTATTAATATCAATAATTGGTGTTGGTCCATGATGGGTTTCTATATTAGTGACAATGGTGGATGTTGATCATTTCTCTACATCCAACAACAAACACCAATGAACATAGGTTGATAGTTGTGTCAAGTGGCCACAATGATGGGTGATGATATTGTTTGACAACAAATATCGAGCAATAGCAATTTGTAGGGGCCCAACTTTAGTTGACTTGCATAGTGGCTAAGGACGACATAACTATGTTATAAACTATATGTCTTTTGAACTTGGATAGAGTGGTGAAGGATATAAATACTTGGTTATAATTAAGTTAAGCTAATTAAATTATTTGAGCTCCTGAGAATCATTCTTAAAAAAGGTAAGAAATCCTCAAGCTTCAGACCTTGACTTTTGATAGCTAATATTTTGGCACATTACGTCTGAACCTCAAAAAAATTTTGATAAAAAGTATTTTAGACAACAAAGGCAAAGTTTTTTTATAGTGGAAACTCTAATTTCATGTGAAATATAGATTTTTTCGAAACTAATGAGCACCTAACAATTTTAATGAGATTAATATAAATTAATGCAAACTTGACTGAAGGAAAAGAAAACACCAACTATTTCTCTTATAAATGATATAAAACATTACATATATATTATTATTTACTGGTTATTGAGTGGAACTTCCCACTTCTTCTGATATTTTTAACTGGTTACTAGTGAATTGCTTTTCTATATATATTAGCCTTTTTAGACATTATAATTTTAATTCATTTACCTGCATTTCACTTAATAAAAAAGAACAATATCTCTTTCTTTTTATTATCTTCAATTTACCTCTACTCATCATTCTTTATTTACTAAGAAAGTTGGTTCTAACTTTGTTGCTATTTTAGTTTATGTTGACAACATAATCATCACTAATCCAACAACTTCTATTATTCTTATTGTGAAAAATTACCTTCAAACTCATTTTCGAGTATATCATTTATCTATGCTATTTAAAGTGTTTGTTAGGCCTTGAAATTGCCAGATCTAGCACTGGAATGTTAACTTATAATCCTGATAATTAAGGCACCGATGGATCCAAACATGCACAAAACTAAATGTTTTTGATGGAGATCCCCTCCCTGATGCATCACAATATAGAAGACTTGTAACAAAATTAATGTATCCCACTCTATCTCATACTGATTTCACAGTTGTCGTTCATAAATTAAGCTAATTTCTATCTCAACCACATATACCTCACATGCAGGCGGCGCGTCATCTTTTCAGCTATCTCAAAGCCACTCCCAGACAATGCATGTTATTCCCATGTTATTCTGAATTACAACTAAAAGCTTTTTCTAATGCGGAGTCGTGATTGTGTCCTGATGCTATGAAATTTGTGATAGGTTATTGCATTTTTTGTGGATGTTTTGTTATCTTGAAAAGCCAAGAAGCAAGCAGTCATTTCTAGAACTTCCATTGAAGCTGAATATAATGCATTAGTAGGCAACATATATGAATTGATTTGACTTGACCACATCGATATAGATTGCCACTTTGTCAAGGATAAGGTGAAGGATGACTATTCAATCAACTTTACAACTTCCCGATGTGTTCACCAAACCCATTGCATCAAGCATCTTTCATCACTTCTATCCAAGATCTTTATTATATATATATATATATATATATATATATATATTAATCATAATAATGATAGGAAAACAATTTCTCTTTATCTTTTTCCATCCATTGTACCTTTTCTGATAATGACTATAAAATGCCAGTCCCAATTCATATCCCCTTCTGTAACAGACAATAAATCCAAGGCAACTATAGACGACTGAAGAGCATTCAACGTATCCTTCCAAAACAAAACAATTTTAAGAGACATGACTTCCACTGAACCTATGCTTGTCTTGTTGTCTGATAGTAAAAAATAAAAAAAAACATTTCTTTTCTACCTTTTTATGTAAAAAACCATGCCATCTTGATTGAGCGGTCCCCATGTACCACTCTCTCTCGCTGTACACATACGTACGTACATATAGTAAGGAAGTAAGCGTGAACCACGTTCCCAACATGTCATTTATGTAAAACAAACACGCAAGGAAATAGAACAGTACAGTATTCGGATTAAAAAAAGGGTGCCAGCACCTTGAAATATGCAATTTCTAATCATCACTATTAAATACCTCAATAATTAAAAAAAACTGTCCCATGCCCAACCACTCCACAATCTCTATCACAATTTCCCCCCTCGTGAAACTAAATTAAAATATTGAAGAAATTAATTAACCAAATGTAACAACACACAAACAACACTAATGACCTTATTTTGTAGGTATACATTTGAGAATTCCAACACCATAACAAATTGTAACCATCTAAACTAAACCACCATGCATGTACACACCATTAAATTGAACAGAAACTATTCAGCTCAGGATGTCCTTAAGCTAAATTTTAGCTCGAGATACATACACAAATATATGAATTTTTTTAAAATTTAACTTTATAATATCTCGAGCCAAAATTTATCCATAATCGAATGAAAACTAAATTAAATACCCAGATGCATCTGGTGATCTTGGTACACAGAGTACTGTTGCATCGTACCTTGATAGTTCAAAGCAGTAGAAGCCATGGGAGAATAAATCAAAGAGCTTACATCAGTACTACTCCAGTTCGCTGCCTCTGGAGTTCCAAGCAATCCTGTAATCCCTTCAGCCATGCTTGTCATTCCATACAGAGAATAACTATCAAATCCTTCTAATTTCACTTCATTTGAGCCAAATATGTCGTTGAGGTTAGTAGAGAAGCATTCATTGAAGGAGCTGAGGTGAGTTGAAGAGGCCATGAGGCTTGCTTTGGTGTTGCCATATATATAGTTTTGATCATGTGCATTGATCAAAGGAGGAATTTCAGCTTCATCAGTTGAGATTCTTCCTTCAAGCTTCATTAGAAGCTTTTTAAAGGAAGCTTGGTTGTCTGTTTCGTGGTAATTGGAGGGTAAAGATGGCTCGGGCCAGTAAAACTCATTATTTGTTTGTTCTAATTTTTTAGGCTCCAGTTGCTTGGGTCGGGTATGGTGCTGGTGATGATCTTTGCGGGATTTGCCTAGTAGCTTCTTCTTTAATCTTGTGTTCCAGTGATTCTTAATGTCATTGTCTGTTCTTCCGGGCAGATGGGAAGCAATTAAAGACCACCTGTTTGATCAATTAAAAAAAGTATATATATATATATAGATATATATATATCTGTGCAACTAGTTTATGCATTTAATTAAAGTCAACTTTGAAATGATTTGAACGGCTGGATGAATATGGAGGTCTTCTCTTTCTTTTTATTTTTTATTTGAAAGTCTATTGATTTCTGTGAAGAGGTTTGGAATCAAGAAGGCTGGTAATATGCGAACTTTTTCTGGAGGAAATTTGGTTGATTCTTAGTAAAATTTGATGATCATTAATTCCAAAATTATTAAATTTATTTTGATTTGAGCATGATATATGATTAATTAATTACATACATGTGTGTATTTAGCTTATTCTTTCTCAACGATTATTAGTTAGACTTTTCATGGGTATTTTTTCTTCGATGCTACCAGTTCTGCTGAACAATTATCTCCCATCTCTAATAAAAAAAGGGCTTGTATGACAAATTTCGAATTCTGAATTCATATTTGTCTCCATTAATGAAAAAAAAAATTTCATTTTACAAATTTTCTCCCTTAACAATTGGTACCAATGAAATAAAACTATTTAATACGAAGTTAATGAGAAATTAAGTATATATTCAACATTCAAATCCTCACTAAAAAACTTTCCCATCATTTATATATATATATATATATATATCATTCTCTTAACCAAAAAGAGAAATATAAATGCAATAAATTCAAACTCCAGAAGAAGAACAAACCTGCTTCCAACTGTCACGTAGAGACTACAAATGATGTTATCCTCCTCCTCCGTGAAGCCCCCATGTTTCAAATTCGGCCGGAGATAATTCAGCCACCGGAGGCGGCAGCTCTTCCCACACCTCTTCATCCCTGCATGTCCATACAAAACTCAATAAACTTATAAAATCACAGAAGAAGATAATATATTCAGACACCAAACCATATACATACCAATCTTCTGTGGCAGAGCGATCCAATTCCCACCTGTTCCATGCTTCTCTATATATGACTTGAGCTTAGCATCCTCTTCCGGTGACCAAGGTCCCTTCTTCACGTTTGCCTTATCACAACAAGGAGCTCTTCCCATCTCTCTCTTCTTCCTCTTTGCGTTGGGGGAAATTAGAGCGTCTGTACTCTGGTTTATTGCAGGTGAAGGGAGCTTAAAAAGGGCAATTAGCGCCTGGATTTGGTATTAAAAAAATATTAAGAGAAAAAGAGATGAGGAAGAAAAGATTATAGTTTGTTTCCGCTTGTCTTTCTTGGAGTAGAATATATACCATGCAGGCATCAGCAGGTTGGACCCACGGCGGGCTCATATACGCACTTTAATATTCTGCATATCTTAGTTAATCATGTAGGGTTTTATAAGTAAACTTTTTGTTTTCTCTTTTGTATTATACTGTTAGTTTTGGATTATTATGCATGATAGCATGCATGTTGAATGATAATAAATGATCCGGCCAAGTTATATTTTATGGATCTGATTATTTAATTTTATAGATGTTGTTAATAATAGGTTGGAGGTGAAGTTTGGGTTAAATTGTAATATTCGGATAGATACATGATATATTTGTAAATAAAAATTTTAAAAAATATATATTAACAGACAATAAACACCATTTTAGAAGGTATTTAAAATTGTGGGAGGTATGTAGAGTTATTATAGGTTCACGAATTTAATTGAGGTTAGAAATTTTCTTTGTATGAAAATATTTCTTGTTTCATTATTTAATTGTACTTTTACTTTTTTTTAATAATATATCATTCCGAATATTATAATTTATAATTATTTTAGCATCAACAAAAATTTAAAATTTCATTATAATTTAATAATTTTGATTTCATATGAAATGAATGAAAATAAATTTTTTATTTCTCAAAATATATTCGATGCATGTTATTGAATTTGTGGCGGTGGAGCAATGATTCATCTTCATAGTGTTACACAAGAATCAATCACGCAATTGGGTAATAAAAGTTAAAACTAAGCGATCATGGGCTCGTTGGAATCATCTTGCCGATATGCTCGATTTATTAAGTATAAGCTTACTAGATTAAGATTTTGTTTGACCTTTCAATTATGTATCGAAAGTTTCTAAAAGTGATTCAACAGTTTGATCCGTGCTTAATTTAACTCGGATTTAACCAATTTGGATACCTTTGGGCCTTTCTCATCGAGTCGGTCAATATGCCAGTCAGTTTGCTCAAATTGAAGCTCTGAATGTTTTTTAATTTATATTTGAACATTTCTTGCTCAAAAAATTCTCTCGAATTTGACGTCATGAACGACGAAGTCAAAACTTAGAAGATTTTGACGTGTAAATCTTCCTAAACACGATAGTAAAAATATGTATATATACATCGATAATATAAAAAAGATAAAAAATACTTTTGAACGAGTAAGAGAAATAAAAAAAAAAAGCAACTAAGGGTATAAAGAATACAAGTCATGCAAATAAGTATTTAAAAAAGATTTAGAAAAAAAAGAAAATTAATTAAGAATAAGGAACTTAAATCATAATTAATATTATGTGATCTTGAAAATATACTTATCCCCTTTAATTAAGGAGCCGCGGATTCTTTCACCTTTTATAACCTTAGAAAAATCATAAAATACATCATTGATCATTCAATGTGAAAAAATGAAGAACAAAATCATAAAGTCAATAAGCTGAAAATAGTTGAGATGAAGCAAATGGCGATGAAGACGACGATGAGAAGTAAACTAATGGAAGTAGAGGCAGAACTCAGAAGTCAGACATGTGGAGAGAAATTAATTAATCTATTATCGAGTTGCAGCATTAACTATCAGAGTTCTTAATTTATCTTGTTCTGTAATTAATTTTTGTATTATACTAATTATGTCGAACAATTTAAGGATATTGTGGTGGAAAAATAATACAAAGTGGAGGCCGGTATGTAGAGAGCCTCTTGAAAGTTTCTTGAGTTAATTGTCCATAGATATCATTAAGCATTATAGAAAGTTACATAAAGCTGTTACAGACTAGAAGCTTCTTCATGTCCTATAATTCAAATTTAAAATGTTAGAGTCAGTAGTTTACATAATAGCACTGCACAAAAGCTTTATTTAAGACTGTTTTTTTCAAACGAAACAAGGGGTTTTGTATGACAATATCAGGAAAAAGAGAAAACTATAGGGTCTACCTCGTTCAAATAAACAGCTATGTAGATAAAGTTTACACAAGGCCACCCTTTTTCTCAGTTGGAGTGTGCAAGCTTATGATGCAGGACTTAGTGGCTTGGCATCCTATAAATGGAGTGGGAATTTGGTTGCCGCGGTCATTAGCACATGTTGCTCAATGAATTTTAATGTATATGACGGTTAAGGGTCTGTTTGAGGCAGCTGCAGTTTATTAAAAAATAATTTTGAAACATATGAAAAATAATTTGATGCTCAAGAATCTATGGTGACTATTACTTTTTTTTCTTTTTTTTGAAATGTTAGACCGTAGCTAGAAGTTGTCACCATACCTAACCAGAAATGATGAGAAATAGCAAATTTCAGTTATAGCATTTTGAAAAAACTATCGAAACGCAGTTTACCCAAATAAATAAAACTCTATGCGATGTTACACCACCACTGAACCACCACCCCAAACGGACCCTAACATTAGTCTAGAGTTGCCCGTCATGCACAAGCGGCTGCTGGCGTTGAGAAACAATAATCACGGGACAAAAAAATGTTAATATTGTTTGACAGTAGTGTAGAGATGATAACTGGGAAATGGTTTCCAAGCCGTGATGATTGTTAGAGGGGAACATTAGTATTTATTTTCAGGTTTTAGATTTCCTTTCAATTTTGACTCACTTCTGTTTATGTGATTTTATCGACAATAATTGAACTATGTCTTTTTTTTTAAACTCACTCTAGCAAATTTTTTTGTTAAAATACCTACAAATTTCAATGAATGACATGTTGCATCCTTAGACTGTTCTTTAGACATTTAAATTTCTTATAGATATTGGAATTGAGTAACATTAGCTTATTATAAATCTCTCTTTAGAAAACAATTTTGATTATAAGCATCTAAGTTTTGAAGATCATTTAATTCCTCAAATAGTATCATAACATTTCTAATTAATCTTTGAGATTATGGTTTAGGCTTATTCGGACTTAGACCCAAATAGTTTATATGGTCTGGATGATCGGTCCTGAAAATTTTATATTGGCATATAATCAAAATCATTTATATGAGTTTGAACCAACACTCAAGTTAACTCGTTTATTATAAAAGAGAAAAAATAACTTTAGCTTTGCCTTTTATCATAATTTAAAAAAATGATTTAATTTTCCTTTATTGTATATTTACATGGAATAAATTTAGAATTAAAGGGAAATTAATATACGAGCTTGTATGGTTGGAACTATATAATATGAGAACAGTAGCTTTTGTATAAGAGACAAAAGGTATTTTCATAATTATAATTTCAAGTTTGGACTATATTTGGCTCCACTTTTGCTTGTCTATATATTTTAAGAAGGTTAGTCTATTATGTCTTATATTTGCCTATATGACAAATGAATACGCCAAAAATACATTCCTTTGGAGCGTGCACTTAGGATGACTTACATGCATACCCCTTCGTTCCTATGTATTTACATATTCAGCTCATAAAATTCATTTTTTGCATATATGCCAACTTGACTATGAATGAAAAGGTGTATTTCACTTTTTAAGAATTAAATATTGATACCTTTGATATGTATATATAAGATTTGAGTGATATAAATAGGCATGGGCATTACATAGTCAAAATTAAAATTTTAAATAAAATCAAACAAGTTCATTTATTTGAATTAGTTTCAAAAATCTATTTTAATGTTTTTTGTTTTTAAAATCTTAATGTTTTTTTTTTTCAACTATTGATTAACAAACAAATCTAAAAACCAGAAAATTCATAATTAAATGAAAAAATCATGAAATTAAATCGAGATTATACAAGTAAGACATGTGATTCATGATATTTTTTTCACAACTGAACTTCAACTAATGTCTATATTTTGGGTTGTACATAAACAAACTGTTTAAACCGAAATAAATTTTGATCGTGTCGGCTCAATTTTATGAAAAGTTTGATTGCTTTGCCTTTTTGGATTTCAGTTGCAACTGGTTTGACTAATTTGAAAACTAATCCATCCAAATCGACTGAATGCTCCAGGAGTATAAATGTGTAAAAACAAAATATAGGTGTTAAGTCATATAAATATTTACTAATTGGGTGGTATGTATGTAAATGTCCCTTCCACAAATTAAAACGAATAAAATTAATGTAACATTTGTTGTTTAATAGGCTCCCCTTTATTTATTTATTTATTTATTTATTTATCTATTTATCTAATTTTGTGTTATATATTCCCGATGTGACGCTTGACGAATACATCAATAAATGAGAAAATAAAAATTAATAAGAATTTTGGTTTTTATTTTTTATTTTTTATTTTTTTTGGCATTTTCTCTTGGGTTGAAGTCGATAAAAATAAATAAATGCACTCGTGTAAATAAAGAAGAGAATGGCTTTGACAAATGCCATCATGCAGTGAAATTTACAGCAAAATAAAATCAAATAAAAAATAATTTAACTGAGAGACCAATTCTGTTAAAATATCTTTTAAGCAAATTGACTCTCTTAAATGCAAAATTAAAAAAAAAAAAAAAAAAAAAAAGAAAGCTGAGCGTTGAAATTTGCAAGGAGCGGCTGTTTATATTTAATTAATAGTTTTTTAATTATAAGTAAAAACTATTTAATTAATTATGTCCATAATAAGAATTTTTATATTTAATTTTTTTCATAATTATATGTATTATAAAAATTCCGACAATATATAAAGCGAATACTTTGGCTCATTCTTAGTTGAAATCTTAAGTTGTCTATTTATTGGTGTTGATTTGAAAGAGTTTTGAATAGTGATATGGAGGGTATTTAATGGGTGAAGGAGGCTCCAAGCCGACCAACAATGCATGTGGTATGTCATGTTGATTTAGAATCATTCAAATATTCAATATAATTATTAAAATTTAATTTAACCACTTGGGAATTGATCAAATTACATTTATAAATAATATGTTATATTTTTTTAATTTTTATTTTATAATATTTTTTCATATTTATATTTCGCTATATATACATTTTTATTTTTAAAAATATTTATGATGAGAAATATCTTTTTCATAATT